AATAGGTATTATTCTGTGCATCTTGCTTTATAACTCATTTTTTCCCTACTTTAAGCATTCATTATGTAACAAAAACTGTGCTAGATGCTCAATATATGTAGTTTTTATTAATAAACTATAAACACTTTCACATAATAGCAGATACTCTAACTCTGAGAGCAAACTGACAGTAAGTAAAAAATGATAATCGAAATTAATAAATAGTGGCACCCTGACTCCAGAACTATTTGCATATATGTAAAAACAGATGAGTACAAAGATGTCAACTTTAGCACTGTGCATGATAGTAAAAAATGGAAAATAAAAAATCCTCGTCAAAAGAGAAATGACACATAATCAATCATACAATGGACTACTATATAGCTGTTAAAATGAATAAACTATATATATTTCAACATGGAAGGAATTTAAAAACCTAATGCTGAATGAAAAAAGTTACATAATGAACATGGTAAGATTAACAAACGGTTAAAAACACTCACAAAACAATATCATGTATATCTGTGCGACTGTGGATGTACAAATGTGCACATGCATATACATACACACTCTTAAACTGTAAGGATGTACTACCAGATCCATGTTGGTGGCTGCCTCCGGAGAATGGGAGAAGGGAGTGGGTCAGGTGGTAATCAAAGGGTATTTCAGTTTGGAAGCAAATATGACCACCAATGTTAACCATTAATAGAAGTTACTTCTACATATAGAAATACGGGTATATGTCTTTGTACTTTTCTGTAATTTCTCCATTTCTTTAAAAAAACTATAGTAATTTCAATGGCTGCAAAGTATTCTGTTATATGGATATATCATAACATATTCATCCAATTTCAAATTGTTAAGACACCGAGACTGTACCCAATTTTGCCACTAATATAAACAGTGCCACAATGAGTATCTTTGTAGCTATTTTTGAACTTAAATTATTTTTTTCTTAGGATAAATCTTAGGAAACTAAATTGCTAAGTTAATTCTAGGCCTTTGTTCCCCATTATTAAACTATTTTCTGGAAAGACCGTAAGAATTTACATATCTATCACTAAGCTATATACCTGCCTATTTTCCGGTATCCATGGCAATCTGAATACCAAAACTCAAAAAACTATCTTCATCCAATTAGGTATGTGAGAAATAAACCAGTGTGTACAGTCCATTCCAACTCATGGCAACCCTATGTGTGTCAGAGTAGAACTGTGCTTCATAGGGTTTTCAATGGCTGATTTTTTTGGCAGTAGATCGCCAGGCCTTTCTTCTGAGGAGCTTCTGGGAGTAGACTTGAACCTCCACCCTTTCAGTTAGCAGCTGAGCATGTTAAACTATTTGCACCATCCAGGGACTCCAGTATGTGAGGCAGGGGTCTTAATTTGTTTTTACCCCCAAACAGTAATAGTCTATCATACCAGAATAACATCATCTTAAACGGAATGAAACTTAAGTTTCATCAGGAGCTTGTGTAATACCATAAAACAGCAAAAGAAAAATACTATTCATTTTTGTTTTTGCTTATTTTCCCCAACAATTTGAGGCAGAACATAATTGTAAAACTGTTTTTATTTTAGAAAGGAATACTATTCAGATATTATGCTTTTTAAAACTAGAGACTGATGTAAAACTGGGATGGTCTATATTTTAAAAGATTTATCCATAAAGTAAGACAATTTTAAAAGGTTTTCAATTTTGAAATGTGCAGAGGAAAGCCTTTCGGCTTCTTCACCTAATTAATTAATATCTAATAAAAATCTAAATATCGGCCTTCTTTAATTCTCATCTAATAAGTATCTATTAATCACAGAATTTGGTTAGTGACATATATCCTGAAATTCCACAGCTCTTTTCATCTCTCACTAGATTCAATAACTCAGCTGAGAATTACTATTAATTAGTATTTACACAGTACTTTATTTACTATAAGCCTATAAAGCAGGGCAAAATAATTGTCATCACCATATTAAGAAAGGAAGATGCAAAACAATTATACTAGTTGTCTAAGGTCACACTAAAGCAGAAATTTTACAGAACTGAACACCAGAGTTCTTGCAGCCTTAATTTCTACATGCCTCATCACTCAGAAGAACTACTTATAAGAATGACAAGAATTCAGGAAGAATAAACTAAAATGAAGTCAGAGAATCATACTATTGAAATGATACTGAAAACCATCTACTTCAACATCCTTACTTTACAGATAAGGAAACTGAGGCCCCAAAAGGTTATGGAACTTACTTATTAAAGGTCATACTTCCAGGCACAATAAAGCAAAGCAAAAATTACAATCTAGCACTCCTTAATTCAAGTTCAGTGATCTTCAATTACTAGAGTAAAAAGCCTCGATGTTTTCACTGATCATTATTAACAATTCATCCATTCAAAAAATTATTATCCAGTATCTACTCTGTGCCAGCCCTGTACTAGGTGCTAAATCTGAATATTTACTAGATGTTAGGCACTACACTACCGCATTTTCACGTTTAATTCTCGTAATACCATTATAAGGTAAGTACAAGTATTATCTCCATTTTACCAATTAAAAAAGAACATTAAGCAATTTGTCCATGGTCTTCAGTACAGGAAATGCCTTTACGAAAAGTAAATGGTATAATCAAGAACAGATTTGACGGACTGAACACCAATGACCAAAGACCAGACGAGTTGGGGGATGGCATCAACGACATCATACATGAAGAAAGCAAAAGGTAATTAAAGACAGGAAAGAAAGAAAAGACCACAATGGATGTCAGAAGACTTTGAAACTTGCTCTTGAACGCAGAGTAGCTAAATTGAAAGGAAGAAATGATGAAGCAAAAGAGCTGAACAGAAGACTTCAAAGGGCAACTCAAGAAGACAAAGGCAAGTACTATAATGAAACGTGCAAAGACCCGAAGTTAGAAAACCAAAAGGGAAAAACACGGCCAGCATTTCTCAAGATGAAAAACTGAAGAAAACATTCAAGCTGCTTGTTGCAATACTGAAGGATTCTATGGGCAAAATACTGAACGATGCAGGGAGCATCAAAAGAAGACGGAAGGAGGCAACGAATGTCACAAAACATTATGTGTATTAATTGTTTAACGAGGAACTAGTCTGCTCTGTAAACCTTCACCTAAAGTACAATAATAAAAATTTTTTTTAAAAAAAGAAGATGGAAGGAATACACAGAGCCACTTACCAAAAAGAACTAGTTAATGTTCAATCATTTCAGGAGGTCCTATATGATCAAGAACTGATGGTACTGAAGGAAGAAGTCCAAGACGTACTGAAGGCACCGACGAAAAACAAGGCTCCAGGAACTGGTCGAATACCAATTGAAATGTTTCAACAAATGGATGCAGCACTGGAGGTGTTCACTTGTCTATGCCAAGAAATTTGGAAGTCAGCTACCTGGTCAACTGACTGGAAGAGATCCATATTTGTGCCCATTCCAAAGAAAAGTGATCCAACAGAATGCAGAAATTATTAAGCAATAACATTAATATTACATGCAAGCAAAATTTTGCTTAAGATAATTCAAAAATGGTTGCAGCAATACATCGACAGAGAACTGCCAGAAACTCAAGCCAGATTCAGAGGAGGACATGGAACAAGGGCTGTCATTGCTGACATCAGATGGATCTTGGCTGAAAGCAGAGAATACCAAAAAGATGTTTACCTGTGTTTTATTGACTATGCAAAGGCATTCAACAGTGTGAATTAAAACAAATTATGGATAACATCACAAAGAATGGGAATTCCAAAACACTTAATTGTGCTCATGAGGAACCTGTGCATAGACCAAGAGGCAGTTGTTCAAACAGAGCAAGCGGATACTGTGTGGTTTAAAACCAAGAAAGGTGTGTGTCAGGGTTGTATCCTTTCACCATACTTATTCCATCTGTATGATGAGCAAATAATCCGAAAAGCTGGACTATATGAAGAACAACAGGGCATCAGGATTGGAGGAAGACTCATTAACCATCTGCGCTATGCAGAAGATAGAACCTTGCTTGCTGAAAGTGAAGAGGACTTGAAGCACTTACTTACAAAGATCAAAGACTACGGCCTTCGGTATGGATTATACCTTAACATAAAGAAAACAAAAATCCTCACAACTGGACCAACAAGCAACATCATGATAAATGGAGAAAAGATGGAAGTTGTCAAGGATTTCATTTTACTTGGACCTACAATCTACACTCATGAAGCAGCAGTCGAGAAATCAAACAACCTATTGCATTGGGCAAATCTGCTGCAAAAGACCTCTTTAAAGTGTTAAAGATGGACTGACACTTGGCTCAACCACAGCAATGATTTTGAGGACGGTGCAGGACCAGGCAGTGTTTCGTTCTGTTGTGTATGCAGGATCACTATGAGCCAGACCTGATGACTACATGGCATCTAACAACAATAACTACCGTCTCTACTAGCACTGAGTAGACATTAGGTGCACAACTTGGTATTAGATTAGAGGTGAGGACTCCTTCTGGGCAACTTTAAATATCGCCAGAACAGACATCATTTGAAGTAATTTAACTCAAAATCAATTGCTAGAAAAGTGATCAGTCAAGTAAATGCAGGACATGGGAAAGGGCTTCTAATACCATCTAATATGAGTTTTGGCCTCAAGAATATAAAATAAGATCAAAAGTAGAAGAATGCACGAGTTCTCCTAAGTATTACTCACAAAATACTATTATAGTACTGGTTACCTACTTTCAGAGCATCAGTCTCTGTGGTATATGATCAAATTAATTAAAAGTTCCATTTACTGTCTTCTCCAGGAGGAATTCCTTTATCTTTGATTGCTAAATAGATTCCACAAGGCTCACATCAAAAAACGCAAGTACTAAGCAGCGCTATTATTATGGAGATTTAAAAATAAGCTTTATAAACCTTTCTCCCACCATACAGTGTTTTTATTCGAGCTATAATTTTCTAAATATAAATCAGAGATGAAGAAAAAAGCACTCTGATAAGCAGTCATAGAAGAATTAACCCCATGCAGTACTTCTAATATAAATGGTTACCTGAGAAGTCTGTCAGAAGTCTTGCTAGGACATGCTTGTTTACCAGTTCAGTCTTGCTAAAGCTGGAAGTAGTATCTACCCTAGCAGTTTCTTTGATAATAGCAGGATTTTGGGAATTTCCAAGATCCGATTCAGTCTTGACATTTGTATGTTCTAGGATGTCATATGATCTTTGTGGCCAAGAAGATTCTGGAGCAAATATGAAAGTCTGCTTGAGTATTTCTTCAGGAGGAGATTCCACTTTATCCTGTGCAGAAGCTGACTCCTTGACCTGTCTTTCACCTAATTCTTTAAGGGCTTTGATTGTGAGCTGTTCCTGTTCTAAGTCAAGAGATGCTACTGGAGTACTTTTCATGGGGAAAAAATCCTGAAGCTCACTTCCACTTGTTTCTTTGCTTTGTTCAGTAGATCTGCTTCTTATGCCTTTAACTTCAGAACTACCTAACTCACTTTCATGCAAGACTTCTACAGGAAGAGCTGTTCGAGAGTCTGTCTTCTCTGTTACTGCTGCAAAGGCATTTCCTTCATCTTTAACCACCATTCCTTTTTCTCCGGTTTCTGTAAAGGCTGCTATCAGGTCCTCTGGGGAGGAATCATCCATATCTTTAACAACATTTTCCCCACATGATAACTCCAGAGAGGCAGAAGTTGTCACATTTAGTAAGAAGAATTCTGTCTCATTATCCTTAGTTGTAACAGGCTTTTCAGGAGCAACTTCACTCATACTATCAGACTGCTTCACATCTTTTGGTATGACATTCATATCAAGTACTTGTGAATGAGCCACCTTACCAACTGGACTCCTTCCAAGAATATCAGGCTGAACTTGTTGTGGCTCTGAGTCACTGATGGACTCTTCAAAGTTTTTAGATGTTTCATTTTCTCTATTAAAATTGGGATTCTCTTTGATTTCTCTTTCACCTGTTTTTACAACAGCACTTGGAATAGAAACAGGCTTTTCAGCCTGAATTTTGTTACTCTGAAATGACATATCTGCTGTGATGTCCTCTATTACTGTGTCATCAGACTCGCCAGAGCTATCAGCCTCTGTCGCTTCTCCCAACACAGAGCTCTGCCAGTTCATTTCGTCTTTCAGGCGGTCATCAGGCAAAGCCATTTTCCCTGTGGTCACTCCAGAGCCCAAAGACACACACTTCTCAAACAGAGATCCAGGTAACTCTGAAAGTGTGTTATCTTGTTTCTTCACACTGTCTTGCATACCTTTAATGCTGACTTCCTTTGTGGAATCAAGATGGTCTGGTAGGGCTTCTTCCTGTGGGAGAGATGTTTCTGCCCAACCACCTGTTGATTTGGTGATGAGACTGCTCCCATTAAGAGAACGTACAGGAATTTTCTGATGAGTGTTAGTTTTAAGATCTACAATTGGGATTTCTGAATTATATTCATCCATGTCAAGTCCTGTAGTTTTTGTGATGTAGTCAGATTTATCACACTGTTGTTTTACTTGGGGAACCAAATCCCAAGTCAGTATTTCATTAGTAAAGTTATGCATATCACTCACACATCTAGACACCTCTTCCAAGGCTGCTGTTGTGTGTGAAAACTGTCTAGTAAGCAAAGCAGAGGCTGGATAGCGCCCTATCTCTTTACTTCTCAGTGGAAATAGTTTGTCATTAGTTTCGGTAATGTCTGCAGATGATTCTCCATCAGTGTGCACTGTCCAGCTACCAAAAGCATTTGTGCTCTCCTTATATGAGTCCTTAAACTCTTTGTCAAATGCTGCTTTGTCAATAATTACTTCAAATGGTGATTCAGGGGAATCCTTTTCAATAACATCAGCCCCCAAAACTTTGGATGGAGATAAGGAACATGTATGAATGCCTTCTGCCTCAGACTGTTCGGTGGGTGGTTTCTGGGCTGTTAGCAAAGTGAACCCGTCATCAGCATCTAAGGCAGTTTTATCATCCCTACTTGGTACCTCATTTGGGTTCTTGGACTCTTCCTCTTTATTTATTTCCATTTGCCCAACTTCCTTTGAGAGAAAAGCTGGATGCTCTGGGAGACTGGCTGGAATGGGAGGATGGCTACAAGGAACTCCTGCTTCAACAGAAACTGGAGAGTCGCCTGTGTCTTTACTTGTCCCTTGAGGCTTTTCCATGTTTTTCACATCGAGAAGAGTCAAGCAGTCTTTTCCTTCTTTGGCTAAAATAGGCTGGCTGCCTAACATTTTGTTTTTTTCTCCATGTAGCGCTGTAAGGTCAGTGTTATGTATTTCAGAAGATGAATTAAAGGAGGAAGTCATAATTTCTGAAGGTGCCTCATCAGAGCAAAGAGAGCTCAATGCCTCTAAGGTCAGAACTTGAAAGAAAAAAAAATGTTTACCAGGTACAATTACATATTAGCTAGTCAGGCCAAGCAGCATGCTTTTTATTTTTTTAAATTATATATACACACAGGATGTGTATATATGCACACATAAATAAATATGTAACAAAAGAATGATCAACAGCTACCCTACAAGACATGCATAAAATTGCTAACAGTGAAACAGAAAAGCTGCATCATGCTACAAGCTGCAAATGACAAAAATCTTTCACGACAAATACTTTTCAGTCAGTATACACTTTCACTGTAAAAGTAAAGCATAAAGAGGGGTAATGACATTAAGAGATGTGGGAAAGAACTTGTTTTGCAGAAGCAACATGATTCATAGAAAACAAACAACTTGATATCATGAAACACCAATACACCTTCATCGCAAGCTCAACAATTCAGAACACACTGCCTCTATAAATTTACTCTTACAATCTGACATAATCTGAGAAGAAAAAAACAAAAAACAAGTGGCCAGAGTTCTTTTTAATCTCCAGCAGGTAGAGGACCCCTGCTGAGCCTGAAAATGAGACTAGAAGAATTCTATTCTATCCACAGGGACAACCTATCCCATGTACAGATGGCTTCAATGGTATAAGGGTGCTGAAAAGGTTGGCCTGCTCCAAAATTTCTTGCACCAAGCTTCTGTTTTAACACAAACTGAACTGTGCAAATTGGTTTCTTTGGTTAAGATAGAGTTAATGTCAGAAATCCTTTAAAAAATACAAAATATCTTCTAAAATAATACATTAATTCAGCCTTATCAGTTATTAATACCACAGTAGCCATTCGTTTACCACATTGTTTTCCAACTTTCCAAACTAGCAAGTTTTGACTGGGGAAAAAGACGAAGATAACAATCCTAAGGGTGGTCACTGTCTTTCTTGCATGTTGCATCTCTGGAGTCTGGAACAAAGTAGGTCTTAAACAAATAGTTCCAAATGGATGAATCCCAAACTAAGCTTGGTCAGGTGAGTCCTAAGAAGATTCAGGGCTGCAATGCCTTGAGCATGAATGAATAATTGGGAAGAAAGATGTGAAAGAGAAATTCCTTTGAGATCACCTTTATTCAGCTTCTATTTTTCTTGTGAAAAGCTAAATAATAATTATATTAGACAAAAGCAAAATTACGACTTTATTCAAACTTATTCAATAAAGATGAAAAGAAATGAGAATTAAATATCTTACTGCAATAAATAAAAGTCCATTATTACAAAAATGTTTCCAAGTACCGGATAAAGTTCCCCTATTTCAACACATCAATGAAATTTGATGTAATAGGATCTGACCTTTAGAATAGTGTAATTATATCTGGGTATTAGAAAAAGTCTTTGTAGACTGAGGGAAAATAGTTAAAAGTTTGGTGGCATAAGCTGTACTCCTGGTATAGAAAATATCTGAAGTCAGTTATACCTCATATTTAGTTCTAGAGAAGTAAACATGTTTCACATCCATCATAGTGTAGTATGGGTACTCAGCTTCACTGAATTAAGGGTAAAATATAAATGAAGCCCAGCATTACAAGAAAGAAGGTCCAAAAACCTGAAGTTTAAAGTACTGTATGTGTATACACACACACACACACACACACCCCTACATTTTAAATAAAAATATTCCATAATCTGAGCTATGTATTAGTATTGAACTTACTGGTCACTGTTTCTATCAGGAAACATTCAATGGACTAGACCTGGGTAAAGGTTTGGGAACCCCTCCCTCCAAATAGGAATAGAAGAAATTTGAGGTGAGGAAAACTGAGTCCATCCCATGAGGTGAGGAAAACTGAGTCCATCCCATAAGGAAGGATCAGCTAGTATGCTTTATAAATACAGATTTTAGATGATTGAGAACTATCACTTTACAGATGAAAGTCAACAAGATGAATCAGTAATAGTTCAACAAATATGTGAGTGCCTACCATGTGCCAGACACTGTTTGAGAAATTGTGTTAAAAGCAATTAATCAAACAGAAAAAAATCCTTGTCTTTATGGAGCTTACAATACAGGGAAAGACAGATGATAAGCAAGAATCAATAAGTAAGTAATGATGATGATGAAATAAAAAAGAAAGAAACCTGAATTGGAAACCTAAAGAATCCTAACCAAAGAATGCACACCCTACTGAAAGAAAAACACGGTAAAATGTTCTATGCTTTACCAGGATACAAACTTGTCCGTATACTAAGCTTTGCTTCTTTCCTATCTTCCACGAACTCTTAATGCTCCCAAAGTCTTCAGTTAGCTGTATAATAATCTGAGGTAACACTAGGTGATTAGGTTAGAAGTTCTATTCTGAAAGTACCAACAAGTCCTGTATTAATGCCATGACTGCCTGAAAGACTTAAAACATTTTATTGGATTCTTTAATGACATACGTGCCATATATACCAAAATAACTTTAATCATACTCCCTAATAATAATAATTTGTAACTTAATATTTGCGATGAATAGTGTTTTCTGGGGGCCAAGCTCTAACAGCATGTTTTGGTTCCTCCATGATTGTAAGATGCAGTGCTAGCTCTCGTGATTGTGAGATGCAGGTACTAGCTCTCCTGACTGTGAGACGCAGGTGCTAGCTCTCCTGACTGTGAGACGCAGGTGCTAGCTCTTGTGATTGTGAGATGCAGTGCTAGCTCCCGTGACTGTGAGATGCAGGTGCTAACTCTCGTGACTGTGAGATGCAGTGCCAGCTCTCGTGATGGTGAGACGCAGTGCGAGCGCTCGTGACTGTGCGACCCAGGTGCTAGCTCTCATGGCTGTGAGACGCAGGTGCTAGCTCTCGTGATTGTGAGATGCAGTGCTAGCTCTCACGATTGTCAGTCAAGCTTTTCCATAAGTAGCAAAGTAACAGCATCCTCATTAATACTTTCATTTTAATTATCTTATTTAGAATTTCAGCAAACGAAAAGAAATTTCTTTGGCTAGATGAAACCCTAAAAAAACGTGGATAGAGCTGACTTGTACCAAGACAATGGAAAAAATTGGGCAGAGTTTATAAATGCACAAAAATATTAAATGTAAGTCCAGAGTCTAATAAGCTTTTCTGCACAGCTCCCATAAACAAATACTCTTCCAATTAGCCTGGCAGAACAGCAGAGAGCTCCAGGGAGTTTGAGGGTTGTTAGTTTTTAAAATACTGTACACTGTAAAACTGCCTGGTGGAATAACTCTGGATTATTTTACATCTCAGGAAATGTCTATCTTTCCTTTTTCAAAAAAGCTATCCCTTTACAGTATACTCCAAGAGACTTTTTCAACCCAAACCCACTGCTGTCAAGTCAATTCTGACTCATAGCGACCCTGGAGGACAGAGTAGAACTTGACAGAGTAGGAACCCAAAGGGTTTCCAAGGCTGTAATCTTTTCAAAAGCAGACTGCCACATCTTTCTCCCACGGAGTGGCTGGTGGGTTCAAACTGCTAACCTCTTGGTTAGCAGCCAAGCACTTAACCACTGCGCCACCAGGGCTTCCATATATATCTAACAGACTTGTTAAAAAGGGAACCAATACATGGTAAGAGGTGAATTAAAATGTCATAACCTCATGATAATCGTGAGCATGTTCCCGAACTTATCAAGTACTAAGCTCCATGCTTACCCATATTTTCTTAAACTCTAAATTTTTAAAAGTCTCCATTTAGGTATATTATCTGAAATAAGACTAGGAAATTAAGTTGGCAGTCCTATTCTAAATTTCTAGACCACTCCCAAACCAAAACTTGCTATTAAAAGATGCAAAATCCTTTTTATCACATTTACTTGTTGTGGAGACTTGGAAACGTGGATTAATCTCATCTAAAAAATGGGGATACTAAAGCAGCTAATTTTAGGACTTTTGTGAAGATTAAAAGAGTTAATACATGTAAAGTGCTTAGCACAGTATCTGGCACTTAGTAAATGCTCAATAAATTGTCCCCAAACACCACATTCTCCAAAAATCTCTCCTGATACAAATGGAGACTCAAGATCATATGCCTTTTTATTGGGGAAAGAGAAGAAAAGCTATTGTCAACTCATAACCACCTTCATCGTGTATACACACACACACACAAACCTGCTGCCATCGAGTCGATTCCAACGCATAGCGACCCTATAGGACAGGGCAGAACTGCCCCATAGGGTTTCCAAGGAGCACCTGGTGGATCTGAACTGCCAACCTTTTGGTTAGCAGCCGTATCTCTTAACCTCTACACCACCAGGGTTTCCTCATCTCATCAGTTTACAATACAGAAAATCCTCATTCAGAGCTTTAGACACCTTCCCTCCTACCTAAATAAAGGAAAGTATAGTTTAAAGAATTTTTATGTATTTCAAGATTTTGGGGTGATGGAACTTCTAAATCAGTACAAACCAAATGCCTACTGTATCTCAAGAACTGTGCTAAATTCTATATGTACAAGGATGTTTAAGACAGCCTAATATACAAAACGTTCTAAATCAGTATGGAAAGGTAGAGCTCTGCCAGAACAGAAACGTTTCAGCAAATGATCTTTGCCATCATCAAGGTCAAAGTATATTTTAGCTCAATGGATAACTTGCTGAACAGTTTAACAACCTAACACAAAAATAGCCTGTGGCACAATCTTTTACAGTCCCTTTCAAACTGTAGAACTACTACTAGTATTGATGGGCTTTGTCTCTGACTTACTGACTCAGTTTCCTGAGGAGGATGGACCTCAGGAAACTGTAGCACA